CCCCACACAGAAAAGCAGTTCTGGGTGTCTAAAAATTCAGCTCAATTCTATCACTATCTACCGAGAAATAGCATCAGATTCCACAGGTAAAGTCTGTGTCTCCCAACACGACTGGGGGGCGGTGGGCGGGGGGAGAGCAAAAATCTGCCACCTCAAAAAGTCTTATTTGGCAAAAAGTCTTATTTCAGAGAGGAGGGCTAAAGGCTGAGTGGAGGGGGCCTTGGATATTTATTGGATATTTATATGTACACGTCTCTTCATCAGATCCTCTCTCCGGCAAGCTCTATTTTCCTATTTTCTTTTCCTCTGGGGAAAGCAGAGCTTAAATCTTCACACCTTTGTCTGCTGGCCCTTCCCATAAACTCCCTCATTGACTTCCCCTTTCTTCCCCCAACCTCCTCTGTCCTCACTGAGCTATTTAAGATGGCATCTAAAGTCCGTGGGCGAGTTACCCAGTGTAAGGGCAGGAATGGCCACTGAGCAGGTTTTCTAGGATCCCACGAAGACCGGGTAAAGGAGGAGTTCTGGAGCCCTCAGGGGTTTTGCAGGTCTTTTATTGGGGTTCACCAGGCATATGGCAGGCAGGGGTGTGGGGGGCCGGGAGGCTGGCAGGCCTCCCAGCCCCCAGCAGGTCTTCACTCTGGGCTCTCCGGCGTTCTCTCGGCTTCTGCTTCTCTTGCTTCTCGCTCGACTTCTGCTCAGCTTCTACTTCGGCTTCTTCTTGTGGTCCCGTGACGCCGCCCTTTAAAGCACAGTCTTAACCCTATGCCCATGCCCTATTCCAGGTGCCCGCCATCAAGCATGCATTCAGGACCGCAAGGATCTGTCACCTATCCTGATGGCGGGAGGGCAGAAAAGCCTGACATTTTTCCTTACCCTACACCCAGTCATGCTGGGTCACCTGTGTCTACAAGAGGCATGTGTGTTATTATTAAAGCTTATTTTTGGCTATTTTGCTTATCTGTGTGATGCTTCTTTACTTATTTGCCAGCCTAGAAAAACCCAGAGAGGCACAATATGATTCCCTCAGTGGCTCGACACCCCTCTCCACTATAGATGCCCCCACACAACAGGCTTCTGTGCTTCTGACTGGCTGACCCTATCAGAGGTTCCATGACCCCCTCCCCAGATGCAATTAATTTGCTGGAATGGCTCACAAAACTCGGGCAACACATGTGATCACTAGGTAGTGACCATGTGATCACTAGTTAGTGACAGTGTAGATGTATCACAAAGGGCACTAAAGGATATAAACAACAGGGAGAGGGCCTGAGCATGGGAGACTATCTCATGGGGCTGGGGGCCCAGCATAGTGGACTTGGAAGCACTCCGGGTCCCCAGCTTGGAAGCTCTCCCAGCCCCATCTTCTTGGGTTTTATGCAGACAAAATCACTGGCATTGACAACAATTCGATCACCAGCTCCTCACCTCTCCTAGTGGTCTGGGAGTAGGATTGGATGGTCCAATCTTTTAATTACTTTTAATTACCTCCAGGCAACCAGCCCAGACCCCTAAAGGTTTCCCAAAGTCAGCTCACTAAAGATAACAAAAGATACCTTTATTATCCTCAAGCCCAGTGGCTATGAGTGAATATGTATTTCTTTCTTTTTAATTCTTTTTTTAAAGATTTATTTATTTATACGTACAAGAACTGGGGTATAGGCCAGAGGTGTGGGGTGTGAGAGGATTCACCAGAGACAGAGCGAGGAGCAGAACAGGCTGAGGGGAGCAGCGTGCGAGACAGGAAAGGTCTGCTGCGCCAGGTGGTTATCTCCCTGGCCGGCCAGGGATTGAACTGGCACTGCAGAGGGTGCGGACAGCTTCACAGCGCTGCACTCAATCTGCTGCGCCACCAGGGAGGCCCAAATATGTATTTCTTACAGTAGTTGGTTATCTAAATGGCCAAAGATAAATTTCTTATAAATCACATCTCAATGAAGAAATACACAGAAGGCTCAGGAGCTTGACTAAAGTTTGGTCAAGCAAAGAATCTTTGTCACCTACCCATCAGGAGGTCACATTCCAGCCAGGGAGTAGGAAAATAGGCTAACAGGTGGGAAAAGACCCAAGGGCATTTAGCAAACACTTGTTCAAAACAAAACAGCTTTGACCTGGACTGTCTGCCCAAGAATCTCTGTCCTTCCCAGGGTAAAGTAATTCTCCTAATCCAGAATGTGATTAAATTGATTGGGAAAATGTTCAGTCTTCCAGACAAGCCACAGACTAGCAGCAAGCTTTGAATACAAATGCAGGGGTTTGCACTGATGCATTCTATCTGACTCCGGAAATTAAAGGCTCTTTGAAGGTAGCATGCAAATTTGTTCCACATGTCCCTGATTTGGGGGGAAAAGAACAGAAAACTGGATCATGCACTTTTCCTAATCTCAAATCTCCCCTAAATTCCAGTTTCACGGGGCTGCTGCTGTAAGAACTGAGGTAAAGTTCCCAGCACAGGTGGACACACAATGGGCGCCTGATCCAAGATAGCTCTGCTTGTGCCTCTCGTGCCCCCGCTCCTGTCCCTGGAGGAGCCATCCTTTCCCAGATCCCTTGGCTTCTTACACAAGCTCAGTGGTGGCAGGGTGACTCCATGCTAGTTAGCCCCTCGCCTCATAAAATCCCAGACTCCTCCAGGATCCCTTGTCTTGGGACACTGTACGCGAGTGTGCCTGGTGCTAGGCAGGCCCCTTGTGTTGTGATATCGATACTAAATTTAAAATCTAAGCCCCCCCACGCCTTGCCCACCAAGCAAGTTTGGGAGGCTTAGATGGAAAAAAAGGGAGTATATGGGACTGCCATGGGAACCTGGACATTAAGCTGATGATCCATTACGCTAGTTCAGATCATCAGTCGGGACACACCCAAGACTAGTCACCCTAATGACTCGATGACTCCTGGAGTGTAAACAGAGCCTCAGGACCTTCACTCTGTGCAGCAGACCTGTCCTGTCTCACTCACCACTCCTTTTAGCAGTATATTTAAATAAACCAAGCTTTTCTGTTCTCCACTGCCTCTGGTGAATCCTTTCACCCCCATGCCTGGCTTACACCCCAATTCTTTCCCCACAACACCATGTGTATTTGCTAGTAGGTCCTCATGTCTCCCGGGCGCCAGGGACAGCATTTTGATGAATCGTCAGAACATGGTGATAAATTAAAATTCATTTTATGATGTGGCTATGAGACAAAGACTGTGCAGCTAGTGATATCATGTCCGGCTGGGGACAGCACTGGTCGTTAGTGTTTACTTCAGGACATTGCCCTTGGCTTGGACAGAATCCCACTAATATGCCACCTTGGCCTGTGGGTACTGCCGCCCAGTGGGGTGGGGATGACCAGCTATTGTGGACTGCAGCTCGGGCCCTTGGGACAGAAGCTCTGTTTCATCCTTCTCTACAGGCCCCAGTGTCTCAGTAAGAGTTTATGGATTACTGAATGGGTTCCTTTTAAATTACAAAAAACTAGTGGTGTGACTAAGGACAAGAAGCAGCGAAGAGGGCCTCCCTGGTGGCACAGGGGTTAAAGTCTCAGTACTATGAAGCAATCCGCAGCCACTGCAGCACAAGTTCGATCCCCAGCCAGGGAGCTGACCCACATGGCACAGCAGACCTCTCCTGTCTCCCCAGCTGCTCCCCTCAGCAATGTATTTCAGTCAGTCTGCCTGTTCTGCTCCCCACTCTGTCTCTGGTGAATCACCCCCACACATACACCTCTGGCCTACACACCAGTTCTTGTATGCATAAATAAATAAAAATAAATCTTAAAAAAAAAAAAGAAGCTCTGAAGAAACCTCTGTGTCTCTATTCTTCCCACTGAGGTGAGCAGGTTCCAGTGAGGGAAGAAGGAAGTTCCTGGATGATCTGTGTGACCCACTCCACACACACATACCGCACATATACACTCCACGCATACACACTCCACACGCGCACCCACACACACGCTGTGCCCTCCCACGCACTATTCCCTCCTCTGGGAAAGCCCTTTGCTTGTCTGTCTGGTGACCTCCTACACTGTGCCCAGGATCCCACTTATGCACTTTTTCTGACAGGTCTTCCTGCAATAAAGGGGTCTGCTGCTGTCCCCTGATAGTTTTACTGATTGAACATCGGTCACTTTCACAAGTTCATGGGCTGGCAGGAGGAGCTGGCAGGCAGGTCCTACCTCTCCCTCCAGTAGTAAGATCTGCAGTAAGGGGGCACTGTGCCTGCTGGGTGTGAAGCGGTTCCCAGAAGCCGTGCACTCGGCTGTGGTGTGGCAGGGCTTGGGCTGAAGATGAAAGGCCTGGCGATGAGGACAGCTGGGGCCCGAGACCCAGGAGTAGGACCTGAATGCCAGAACTCCTCTGCAAACAAATGTAGGAACAGTCTGCGTGGATGCCTCTGAGCAGCCTCCCGGAAATCCACGAAGGAGCAGGGGGGCAAGCCTGGTGGAGGGGGAGTCCCGAAGGCACGGATCTGGGGGCGACGGAAGACTTGCCCCCGCTCCACCACTCACTGGCGTGATCACAAAGAAAATCTCTAGGCTGCCCTCAAGGTAGTTTCCTCAGCCACAAAATGGTCTCCGGGGAAGTGGAACTAGATTCCTACGCCACTTTTCTGGAAGATATGAGCACGCCTCGGGCTGGGCGCCCCGGGGACACGTCTCGGCCTCCCGAGCGCCCCGGGCGCCCCGTGGACAGGAGACTGCGGCGCTGACCTTCCCTGGGGCAGCCGCCGGGCTTGTCTCTGGGCTGCTCGGCCCTCCGCGCTCCCATGTTTACCAACACCCGGGATGCGTCCCCACTGCGGCGTCCCCGCAAGCCCGTCTGCAAGCAGGGAGACCTGGGCTTGTGACCGGCTGCTGGCACCCGGGGCGCCGGCCCTGCCCGGACCGCGGGGGCGCCCGGCTCTGCGGCGCGGCCCGGCCGGCGCCTCCCGGGGGCGGGGCGAGCGGGCGCGGGGCGGGGCCGGCTCCGGTCACGTGACGCCCGGCCCGGAAGCGCTCGCGCCCGAGCCCCCCGGGTGACCCGGTCCGGAGCCGGCGCAGAGGCCGCGGGGGTCCTGTGCCTTCGGCTCCCCGCATCCGCCGCCATGGCCTGGACCAAGTACCAGCTGTTCCTGGCCGGGCTCATGCTCGTCACCGGCTCCATCAACACGCTCTCCGCAAAGTGAGTCCGGGCGGGCCGGGGAGGACCGGGCGCTCCTGCCACCCGCGAGGGAGCGGCGGACCCCGCGCACCTGCTGCGCGCGCCCCTGCTTGACGCCCCTGCTTGACGCCCCTCTCCTGCCCTCCCCCGCCTGCCCAGTTTCAGCGGTCGGCTCACGCGGTTGTTGGGGCACCTAAGGGGTGCGAGGCCCGGGGAGACGCGGGGTGAGGCCGTGCCCCGGGCTGGAGGAACCGAGCCCTGGCTTGGATTCGTTATGCTTGATCCTAACGAGACACTTCCCGTCTCCCGGCCTCAGTTTCCTCATCTTTAAACGGAAAGGGCTGGGCTGGTTCCTCTTTGCCGCTCCCTGCAGCCCTGGCGTCAGAGGCTCAGCTCTCCAGGAGCTGTGGACCCGGATCCCAGACTTGGGCCGCAGCCACCAGAGAGACCATGCGGACCCAGTGACCAGGGAGCGTGGAGGGCCATGGCGGCAGAGAGGAGGCTAGTGGGGGGCCCTCATGGAAGGCCTCCCATGAGATTTCTGCATGTCGTGGGGACATGAAGCCAGGGAGCAACAAGAAGAGATGGAAGTGCTTCGTAACTCGCATACAATGCCCACAATCAAAAAAGGGGACTTTGAGCAGGGGAGTGACAGTTTAAGAGTGATATGGTAAGCCTGGTGGTCAAGGTGAAGAGTAATTTGGTGCAGAGAAAGCCACTCCAAGGCTGCTGTATAGTAGATGAAGGGAAATAGGTGGCAGGTGAGCTGGGAGAGGAAGGGACAGGTGGGAGAGACCAAGAGCAGAATGAAGCCACAAGGCCAGACTCACAGGATCAGGAGATAGTGATCCATCCAGGATTCTGCCTGGGAAAACAAGTGTCCTTAGGCCAGACAGGGAGGGAGGGGGCAGTCACCTGTCGCCCTTTGGGTTTGCCCCAGGTCTGGTGTATGAGGTACTTGTATGTGTGAGGCACTGTCTGGACTCAGGGAAGGAGACATGTGTGACCAAGTTGCTTAGAGTCTGAGGTGGAAGAGAGAGATGTGTACCCACTTGGCAATCACTCCACTCCCCAAAGGAGCTCTGTGAGGGGCCTGCCTGTATCTAATTGGGCTCTGGCCAGCTTTGTCTTGCAGAGACATGTCTGTGTCTTGGGATGTGTCTCAGGATGCAGAATCCTGAAGGTCACTCCTTTTTCTGAGCCTGTAGCTATCAAAGAGACTCAACCGGAGGGCTCCATCTCAGGATCTGAGTGCAGCGGAACAAGTTATCCATCCATCACACCAGCCAGGCCTGTTAGGTACTTAAGAGAGTGACTTAGGTCTGGCAGGTGCTGTCCCCAAAGCGAGTGGAGATTGCCAGTTACTACTGGGATAAACTCTGCTGACTCAGCTCCTTCCTTAAAAAACTCCAAACCGGAGGCTCCCTGGGAAGCAGGAGAGAGGCTCCCAGGTGGGGGCCCAACCTTTGACCCTGTCTCTCACCCTTTAACCTAATTAGGGGCCTCTCAGGAGCCACCTATGACAGTCCCTAGAATTGTACTCTAAACTATGTTCTGAAGCCAGATTGTAAAAAGCATGGTCTCAGAGAGAAAGAGCACAGGATAGAGGCTGTGTGTCCTGTGGGAATTATTGACCTGAAGTCACGCTGACCTGCAGTTTCTGGCAGAAAAGAATGGGACAGACAGACAAGAATTTCACCACAGTGAATGCTAACAAGATAACACCTGCCACATGCCAGGCCCTGTTCTGGCCTCCTTTCATCTTTGGAACTCAGTGAATTCCCATCAACACCCTATGGGGTAGGGAAACTCATTATCCCTAGATAAGGAAACAGTTTTGGAAAGGTGGTTTGGCTTGGCCAAGTTCAGCTCACCTACCAAGTGGCAGACTTCCTATTTGGGTCAGAGTAGTCTGGCTCTAGAATCCTTGCTTATGGCCACCCATATGGGGTGAGTCTGGAGCTTCTCTACTCACCTGTCAGGGTATCGTGCTGGCACTGTAGGGCTCTCTGCCTGATCCCCACACTTTACAGTAGAAACCCCTGGAGAAGTTTTGTTTTTTTTTTTTTTTAAGATTTATTTATTTATGCACACAAGGACTGGGGTATAGGCCAGAGGTGCAGGGGGTGAGAGGATTCACCAGAGACAGAGTGGGGAGCAGAACAGGCAGATCTACTGAAAACACACTGCTGAGGGGAGCAGCGGGCGAGTCAGGAGAGATCTGCTGTGCCATGTGGGTAGCTCCCTGGCCGGGGATTGAACTCGTGCTTCAGTGGCTGCGGATTGCTTCATAGGTTGCGTCTTAACCCCTTGCACCACCAGGGAGGCCCCGCCTGGAGAAGTTTTTTTTTTTGTGACTCTGCTGGTTGATGTGCAGGCAGAACCTGGGTCTCTGGATCTTAATCCAGTCCTGTTCTTTTCATACTGCAGTCCCCAAAGTCCCCTTCCTTGGGGATTTCCTCTCACATCACCCAGACAAGCACAGACAAGCTGTGTCCATGCCCTCACAGTGCCCTCCCTCCAGGTAGCCAGCCTCCCTCCCAGCCCAGGATCCTGCTGTCACCCTGTTTGTCTTTCCCCCAGAGTTAGAAGCTACTCTGGGCTCAGTTTTAGAGTCATACTAGCCTCTTGCCATTTCTTGGACTGTAGAGTGAGCAGACTTTCCCTTCTGGGTCCCTAGAGGACTAAAGACAGTGGGTAAGGAAGTAGATGAGCATGTGCCGCGTGTAGTGCTGGGACCGCAGGTCAGCCCTGTGCCAGAGGAGGCCACTCTGCCCACTCAGCAGCTTTGGGTGGACTGCTGGGAGCCAGGCCTGCTCTGGCTGGGACAGGGGCAGAGGTCACACCCGTAGGAGGGAAAGCTACCAGTCAGGCTGGGTCTTGGCAGAGGGCCCCTGAAGTAATTTTTTCTTTCTGAGGCTGCCCTCCCAACCCTCCCCAGGACCTTCTGCTGATGCATCTCCTGGCACTGCTAGGGCTTTCTGTCTGAACAGTACGTGTCCATGGAGTCAAGCTCTTCAGAGCCCGTTTGCCGGAATCCAGCTGGGGTTCTGCATGTAAAGAGCCTTTCCATCCAATAATCAGGTCCACTGGGCACAGGGGCCCTGCCAGGAAATGACAGGAGGCCTGGACCTCTATTTGGGGAGACACTCACTTGTCCTTTCTGTGCCAGCCCTAACTGTGGCCTTGGCAACTGCCATACCCTTAAGTTCTCTGAGCTGGCTTGGGATAATTGCTTCACAGGGATTCCTAGGCTAAATGGAGAAAGCCTTAAATCAGGAGGATAATGTAGTAGGGTAGACCATGAGGTCAGAAGCTGTGGGATTAGGGGATCTAAGCCTCAGTTTCATCTGTAAAATGGGTGCGTGACTATCCCACCCTCTTCCCCAACACCTGGTAGGAGCTACTGAGAAATACCTGGAGATAAGCGGGCTCTTCATCATTCATCACCACTGAGCCAGGGGCACCTGCATTTCATCCTGGCCCTGAGATGGGCTTCAGCTTATTGGGCGGGCAGGCACTGAAGGACCGGAGGGAGAGAACAGGAGTGAAAACCTAGCCCCGGTTTACCCAGGATGACCCCACAGTGGGCCTGCACTTGGCCATCTGCAGGACACCTCCCTCAACTTGTTTTCGGAAACGCACTTGTTCTTGCCCCAGGGAGTGGAGAAGCCCTCTGGCCCCGCTGGAGAGTGAGGCTGACTCACTGACTTGACAAGCTGGGGGTGCAAGAGGAAATGGCAGAGATTCTGTGGGGAATGGACACACAGCTAATTGATCTCAGGCGGCCGCATCAGCCACTTCCTCAGTCTCTCTGCAGCCCCCCCACCCCAACCCCCCAGCCCACACACCTCTCAGAATGCTGAGCTTTGAATTTCACTGGCCAGGCCCACACCAGAGTGACTCACCCCCTCAGCCTGACCAGACCTTCTGCCCTGGAAGCCATGGCTTTCCCAGGACACAGTGTCTAGGGAGAACCGAGGGGTGCATCTGCGGGGCTGACATCCCTGGGGCTTGGGAAGGAGCTAGAGTAAGAAGACAAGGGGAGAGCAAGTAATGAAGTGTCACCAAACTGGAGATGGGGACCCCTGGGTTCCTCGGGCTCCTGGCACCTGGGTTCCTCCTCTGTCAGATAAGGAACTTCATGAGCTGACAGCTGAGTTTCTTCTGTTTCTGCATTTTGTGCCTCACGAAACTACAGGGGACATAGCATGTGGCCTTCCAGCTACCTCTGCCTCAGCCAGCAGGGGAAGTCCCAGAGAATAGCTGTTCTCCCAGAAGCCTTAAGGCTGGAGTAGAGCTGGGGCCACCCCCACCCACACTGCGGGAGCTGGTTCTGCTCAGTAGAAGGAAAGGGGGAGCAGGGGAGGAAAGAGCTTTTCTTGATGAGCGGCCATGTGCCAGGTCTACCCATCTCACCGCTTTTGACAACCCATCGTGTTGGCATTGTTATCCCCATGTTATAGCTGAGGAAACCGTGACTCATCCAGCCTGTGAGCTCAAAAGTCTGAGCCTTCTGTGCGTCTCGCTGCCTTCTCTGAACGTCAACTCAAGCAGATGGGTTGGCCCTAGCTCCGCCCCTCTTGACTGTCTCCCCACCCCTCCATCCCACACCTCGAAGTCCCATCTGAAAAAACGAGGGTCCCAGACGGGAGGTGAGGCTTACGACAACCCACCGGAAGTGCTCGCCACAGATCCGGCGGGCGTGCAGTGAGTGTGCGTTTCCAAAACCAGGTGAGGGAAGTGTCCTGCAGATGGCCAAGTGAGGGCCACTGTGGGGTCATCCTGGGTAAACTGGGGCTAGGTTTTCGTTCCTGTTCTCTCCCTCCAGTCCTTCAGTGCCTGCCCAATAAGCTGAAGCTCATCTCAGGGCCAGGATGAAACGCCTGCTGCCTCCGCCTACTTCTCCCAGGCCTGAAGAAGGGCCAGGCCAGCAGCTGGTCCTGCTGACACCCAACCCTGGAGCTCTGAGCCTGCCTCAGGCCCTCAGATACAAAAAGATTCTATTTCTCCTGCTGGGAAGCTGCCAGCTCCACCTGTTTGGGCAGGCCTAACACAGAGAAGCAGACAGCCCTGTCTGGTAGGGCGGGGCTCTAACCAGCCCTTCAGCGCTGGTCCCACCCAGGGGACAGGCCCACTGGTTCTCCAGCAGGGGGCACCTCAGACCCAGGTGGAAATTATGACCCCTGGACCCTTTCCCTCTGGATTGAGTACCTGTTTGCTTGGTAGGGCCTGGGAATCCAGTCATTCAGTGGAGAAATGTTCCAGCTTTTGTGTGCTGATGTGCCAGGAGCAGGGGCCTGAGGGATGGGAAACTGCTCACAGGTGTCTCAAGTGATTACTTGAGACAGTGATATAATGTGAGTTGCCTTGACTATAAGCGGCATGGACAGGAGCCCAAAGGGGGTTTCAGGAGGTGGCTGCACTTCTGGAACTGGGGGTGTTCTGCAACCTGCCAGTTTGTGCTTTAGGTGCCGCATCAGACTGAGGAAGCGGCTTCCACAGCTGCCCTTGCCCTGGGCTCCTGGCTGACCTTCCCGGACTTGGCAGGGGCCCTGGCTCCAGCTCCCTGAGTTCCCACCTGCTCACCTGCTCCAGGGCAGTTGGCTCTGCAGAAGGCGAAGAAGTCTCCAGCTCTGAAGGACTTTTAAATGAAAAGAGATCAGAGATCAGACTAGCCCCCAGAGACAAACCTAAACCCAGGGAATTCAGGGGCCAAAGCTTCAGGGCGCAGCTGGCAGACACTACAGAATGAAGGTGGCCCAGCGGGAAGCCAGCCCTGGTCAGTCACCCTGCCTGCCAGCGTGTGGCCAGATCACGCCTCCAGAGCTACGGACTTGCCCCCGCTTTAGAGTCATGCTAGAAAGATGCTCTGAACCCCCAGGTTGTAGGAAGGGGACCAGGGTGGTATGTGTCAGGGTCATGTCCCTTGTGGCCCAGGAGCTCCTGACAGTTTTGTGCCATGGGTGCCTTTGACATTCTGATGACGCCCAGAGTAACATTTGAAAATGTGCAAATAAAAAATTGAGGGTTACAGAAAAAGCTAATTATATTGAAATAAAGTTATTAAAAAAGCAAATGTGTGATATAGTAATATGTATGTGTGCCGCTGTGCTTAATACATAAAATTGCTGTAAATTTGGATGAGTGTAAATGCTCCTTACACTAGCTGCAGTGAATCTCATGTGATAATGAGAATAGCTGTGATTTCTGCGTGTCACAGATTCGCGGGTACCATGGTACTACATTCGTAATTTGAAGAACTGTTAGGATTCAATTAAGGTTCATGAAATCTCAGTTAAAGTTCCCCAGACCCCACGTTCTGTCCACAATCTCTGATAAAAACTTGCCACAGAGACAAACCCCTCTGAGCCAAGTCCCCCAAGTCCAGCTTCTTGACCTTAAGAGAAGCAAGCTGGGCACCAGGCCAGGGCTGCTGGACCCACCCACTGCAGGGTTTGACCTTCTCTCTCTCTGCTGCAGGTGGGCGGACAACTTGGTGGCCCAAGGATGTGGAGGGAGCAAAGAGCACAGCTTCCAGCATCCCTTCCTCCAGGTATCTGCCCCATCCATCCTGATCCCTCCCCACCTTCCCTCTTCCAAACCTCAGGCCAGGTGCCCCTGTGAAGCCCTGCTGCTTCCTGACCTAGGGAACACCTGTCCACTGCTCTCCCTGCCTTTGCAGAGCAGAGGCCAGGGTATGAGGCACTCCTGGAAGGGGCAGAGGCCTCAGTTCTCTGCCTGAAGCTCACATGAGCCCTGGTGAGCAGCCATGCCCTGGGCACCACGAGGCCAACCCTCACCACATCAACCTGCTCTCCGCCCACGGCGAGCCCACTGGAAGGGATGGTCACTGAGCAGAACATACCTTGTTGCTAGATTGGGAAGCAACAGCCTTCAGCTCTACCAGCAACTTGCTCAATGACCTTAAAAAGTTCTTGAGCCTCTCTGGACCTGTTTCTCCATCTGGAACTTGACCATGGTTTTCAGACTGGACTCTACACAGCCTTCAGGTTTCCATGGAGGTTTATTCAGACACTTTGGGGTCGACCTACAGGCAATCTCTGACCACACCCTCACAGCAACCCCACTTTAGTCTGTTGGCTGTGCTGGGGTCATACTAAGCTCTTATTTGTAGAAAGATTGTGTCCAAAAAATGTTTTGTTAAAGGTGCTGCCCCTTCTGGCTCTAAACTCTAGGGCTCTGTCCCTGCAGGCAGTGGGCATGTTCCTGGGGGAGTTGTCCTGCCTGGCTGTCTTCTACCTACTCCAATGCAGAGCTGCGGGGCACCCAGACGCCACTATGACTCTCCAGCAGCCCTTCAACCCCCTTCTTTTCCTGCCCCCGGCCCTCTGTGACATGACCGGGACCAGCATCATGTATGTGGGTGAGTAGCCAAGCCAAGTCAAAAGGGCTGAGCGAAGCCACTGATAAAACAGCCTCCCCCCAAACTTATCTTCATCTCATCCCACCACCCTCCCACGGACTGTCTGGCACTCTCTCTCTTTTTCTCTCTCTCACAAACACACTCTCACATTCAACCAAGGTTTAGTGAGCACTAACAATATGCTACACTTGTCTTCAGCCCTGAGGACACCTCGGTGAATAGACAGCTTCTGCCCTCAGCAGCTAACATCCTGCTTCTCTCCTCCCCCAGCCCTGACCATGACCAGCGCCTCTAGCTTCCAGATGCTTCGGGGAGCAGTGATCATATTCACAGGCCTCTTCTCGGTGGCCTTCTTGGGCGGAGGCTGGTGCTGAGCCAGTGGCTGGGCATCCTCGCCACCATTGCGGGGCTGGTGGTCGTGGGCCTGGCGGACCTCCTGAGCAAGCACGACGACCAGCACAAGCTCAGCGAAGTGATCACAGGTACGGCCGGATGGTCCCCCCAGGCTGCCCTCACCGTCCTGTCCTGTCCTGTCCCATTCTGCCCCAGCCTATCCTCTCTGGGAGCCCAGCACAGTTCAGCTAACATTCCCAAGCCCTGCTGGATGCCACGCCCTCGTGAGGGCATGTGGGGGACAAGCTGGTGTGGACCTGTACCTAAAGATGCATAGCATGTAGGGAAGACCTGAGAGGCACAAGCAGGGTGAGAAGGGGGCTTACAGGAGGGAGGGGCTTGTGCTGAAGCACACTTATGTGTGGACCTACAAACTCCAGCATTTGGGAGAGGAGGGGCTGAACACCAGTGCAGTGACTACTTTGTCACTCAGAGATGGGACTAAACCAAAAGTGTCTCTCTCAAAGCCTGCTGGTCTTCCAAGATCCACTTTGTGCAGCTCTCAGACTCAGGCAGACGTCTGGATCTTCTGGAGCCTCAGCCCAGAGCAGGTGTCTGCCCCTCTGCCTGGCCCTGCCACTCTGAGGCCAGGAGATCAGGCGTGGGCCATCATGCCTCATGAACTCCACAGTATCCTGCAAGTCAGGGGCTGTGTGTGTTGTTTTGTCCCCGGAGGACCATCTCCCTCTGCCACGGGCCTGCCACCCTGCCGACTGCCCCTTGGCCAGGCTGTCTCCCAACCCCAACTCCAGTGCAGGCCTGGCATCACCATGGCCCCTCCTTTGCCACAGGGGACCTGCTGATCATCATGGCCCAGATTATCGTCTCCATCCAGATGGTACTAGAGGAGAAGTTCGTCTACAAGCACAACGTGCACCCGCTGCGGGCTGTTGGCACTGAGGGTATGTGTGGGCACAGGGGCTGGAAGGAAGGTGCTGAGGGCATGTGCACTGGAATGTAGCCTGTGGCTTTCATGCACAGGGGAGAGCATAGGGTGAGGTGCTGGGCATCCTGAGAGAGGCGGGCCTCCTGCCCTGTTCCTTCCACCCTCACCACGTGCCTGTTGACAAATACCCCAGTGCCTGCCAGGCACACAGCCAAGAGCCAGGAGAGGGTGAATATGCAATGAATGACCTCAAGGCCCACTTCAGAGGAGCTGACCAGCAGTGCGTTTCAGCTCAGACCACCCTTGCCCTTGTTTCATTCACCAAGCATACCTGAACGTCTCGGGATAGGTGGCATTTGAGCTTCAGACTTCAATAGGCCAGAGTGGGAAGGACAGACAGGACAGAGCAAAGGTGGGGAGAACTGGACATGAATTTGGAAGCAAGGGATGAATTGTTTGGGTGAGATGCTGGTTGCCTATTTGGGAAATCAGAAACTGAAGAGGTCAAGGTCATGTCCTTGAAAACCTTGAACATCAGGCAAGTAAGTAGATTTACTGACAGGCTGGGAGGAACCACTGAAAGATTTTAAGCAGGCAAGTACTATGAAGTCACAGTGAGATGAGCAGGATGGATTCGAGCCCTACTACTCCAGTGTGGCCGCGGCCTCACCGGAGCTGTCTGTGCCTGGTCCACCGTGACTTGAGGGGCTTACGGCAGAACGTAAGTCAGTGAAATCAACTGCATCCCCCAGCATACTGTTTGTTTCCACTCATATTTTGCTCCCAGCAGGACTCTAAGGGGAGCAGTGTGGTTATCTACATGCTGGTCCGGCTCCTCATCACAGACCGGTGCAGTGGAATCAGGCTGTGGCCAGCAATTCTTTCTGAAATGAGCAGTGTAGGATTTCAGGTGTTGGCACGGTCCGTCAGGAGCTAGAGTGTTATGAAAGCGTGGGTGCCACGCATCCGCACCCACCTCCACTGGGTCACTTTATAGAGTGTATTTCTCACTCCTGGCCAGTCAGAAAATGACCGAGTCAAGTGAGAAGGGGCAGCTAGAGCCCATCAGCCCATTCCAGCTGGCCGCTGGAATCTCTCTTGATGAAGGGACAGATGCCAGGCCCTGAGGAAGAGGAAGGAGCTGGTGTGAGGGTTGCTGGGAAGGAGCAGCATGGAGATCAGAGGTGGCCTTACTGGGCAAGTTGTGCTGGGGTCTGGGGGCCAAGCAGAGTGATGTGCCTCCTCCACTCCCGCAGGCCTCTTCGGCTTCGTGATCCTCTCCCTGCTGCTGGTGCCCATGTACTATATCCCGGCCAGCTCCTTCAGCGGCAACCCCCGTGGGACCCTGGAGGACGCACTGGATGCCTTCTGCCAGATCGGCCGGCAGCCACTCATCGCCGTGGCACTGCTGGGCAACATCAGCAGCATTGCCTTCTTCAACTTTGCGGGCATCAGCGTCACCAAGGAACTGAGCGCCACCACCCGCATGGTGCTGGACAGCCTGCGTACCATCGTCATCTGGGCCCTGAGTCTGGCGCTGCGCTGGGAGGCCTTCCACCCCTGCAGATCCTCGGCTTCCTTGTTCTCCTGACAGGCACTGCCCTCTACAACGGACTGCACCGCCCACTGCTGGCCTGCCTGTCCAGGAGCCGGTCCCCAGCAGAGGAGGGTGAGCATGAGAGACTGCTGGGGGGCTCACGGACTCCCATCAACGAAACCAGCTGAAACTCCTATGGGACCTTGGCTGCCTCCTGGATGCTCCTTGTTCGCCCTGGGGCCACACAGGCTGGTGAGCCTTGAGGCCTCACCTCTCCCCCTCCCACAGACACCCCCCGGGCAGCTGCTGACAGACGATAACAGGACACCCAGGTCCTCCTTTGTCACCACCCCCTACGAGGAGGTATTACTCAGCCCTCCACAGACCTGAGTGCAGTGACTGACCCCACCAAGCACCCCCCCAGCCCTCCGAACCCCTCCTGCAGCTGTAGAGCTAAATCATGAAGTGGAACTGCAGGAATGAAGAACCGTAGGGGTTCCTCCTGGTCATAAGCTAGATCTGGTTCTCCAAAGGAAGAAGTCAGTGAGCAAAGCCAAGCTAAAATTAGGCACCATGTGTTCTAAACCTGTGATGTAGTCCCTGGGCCTGCTGATGACCCAGGTTTTAGCTGCAAACTCCACTGGCACTTCCTGGCCCCTTCCCCGGTTGCTCTGGGCCTTGGCACCTTCTCTGACACTGGTTTCAGTGCCTCCGGCCCCAGCCGGGCCCCTTCAGTAGGTCTGTGATTTTAACCAACCTGGGGTGGAATAACAGTCTACTTGTTGGAAGTGCTCCATGGCTCATGGGGTCCTTGCTCACACACCCTCAAGACCTCCCTGCCAGGGAGAGATCACAGGGGGACTCCAGATAGCCCTTGGTCACAGCTTTTGAGACCCTTACCTACCATCCTGAAGATGAGGAAACAGGCCCAGAGTGGTAGGTTGCTTGGCAAAGTGTCCCCCTTACGTGGGCCCAGCCATCCAGCCACAGGCTCCCTGCATCTAAGCACAATTGGACTCAGCCCCAACCCCAGCAGCCTGACTGGTAGGAAAGCTTTCAGGGTGGTGGATTTGCCAGACTCCTCCCACTTGGAGGTAGTTCTGCTGTCCCAGGCATTGTGTTTGACTTTGAGCCTCACGTGAGAAACTGCGTAGAAGAAACTGTGGCCCAAAGAAAATTAAGTGACTTCCTGGTGGAGCCAGTATTCTTAGCTGAGTTTACCTGACTCTAAACCTGTGGCCCCACCCACTTTCAGGTCTCTTTGGGGGGACTTTCCTAGGGCTGACAGGGAAGTAACGTGTTCTCCCAGTAACCCCACCCTAAAGAGGACTGGCTCAGGGACCCCAGAGAGCAGTGGTCAGTTCCAGTGATCCTCACCCCATGGCAGTTTTTGGAGCCTCAGACCATTTTCCTGGGCAGCTCAAACAAAACACCAAATGCTTTCCTTAAAACAGATTCTGAAGGAAGGGAGCCCTGAGGAGCAAAGCCGTGGGGCTCTATGGTAACCAGCAGTGCCTACAGTGTGTTGAGAGAAAAGGGTCTCCATCCACCAGCTCTGAGTCCCAGGGGCCCAGAGTGTCCTCGGCCTGAGGTGTGTATCCCAGGCAGAAGGAAATCATGAGTGAGGGTACAGGGGACCACAACTGCCTTGTCCAAAACCAGGAGACTTAGGATGTTCTTTTAGGCTTTCCTTAAAAAAAAAAAAAGGGAAATTTACAGCATGGACTATTTTCATGAGAGGGTGGGTGCTCCTGGGGTTGGAATGAAATGCGTTCTTGAAACGCCACCTGAGCCAAATGTAAAATTCACAGTGTAAGGTAAAATGGGATGCCTTTAGGAGATTTTAGGCTGACAGCAGGTATCTCCCCAGCCCCTGGAGGGGCCACCCTCTATCCGGCCGTCAGGGGGTGCTCTGGAAGGTGAGTTTGAGAAGCCTTGCAAGTGTAGTGCAGGAGGGAAAGTGTAGCAGGATGGCCCCCAGGAAAAGGGAAGCTCCAGGTTCCCTACGTCCTCCCCAAGGAAGGGTAGAGCTGAGCAGGGAGGAGAGGAAGGATGGAGGACCAGGAGGAGACCTGGAGGAGGCACGTGGAGCAGAGAGAGATGGGAAAAAGCTGCGCTTGCATTTTGGTCCTGGACTGGTTGAAACAGATGTGAGGGAGAGACCTGTGGGGAGATTAACAATGGCAGCTTTTATTTTGATTTTGCTCCTTTTGCCCCAGATGTGCTGGGCCCCTTCTGTCCCTTTCCTGTGAGTTCCCACCAGGAGATGCCTTACACTGAGGCTGGCTTTCGGGCCTCAGTGGCCCTGCTTTGGGCCAACCCTGTTTGGTTGGACATTTACGCACAAGGGGATGGGTAACTTCGGGGTTCTCGATTTGGAAACTATATTCTTTCCCTTGTCTTTGTTGCACACTAATTGTATTAAAGTTCCTTTCCACTAAAGGTCTTACACACTAGAGTATATTTTGTCTTGAAGTGGCGGATGGCGGGACCTATTTAGAGTGGGCAGGTTTGGGAGTTCTGGGGTGCCCTTCACCCTGCCCTGTAACAAAAAGACTCCTCTCCCACTGAGCCTGGGGAACCATGAGGAAGGTCTGAACTGTGGCCTCCCATTCTGAGTGGAGTTGGGCCCAGAGTGGTAAAGTTTGGCATGGAGACCTTGAATCCAAATCAGAATTGACTAATAAATTCCATAAACATCAGTTTATCTTCAACTGTCTGCATCGAAGTGAAATGCAGTCCACACCTACACAGGGTGATCCTGGGAGGCCCTAGGGCTTAGCTTCCAGGACAGCCTCCAGGCCCTGGGGTAAACTTCAGGTTCCTCTCTTACCAGGAATCAGGCAGAGATTCAGGGCTGAGTCAAGCAGTTGGTTTGCCTCCCTGTTGTCCAAAGATCTCTGTAGTAAACAGCACACAAGGAGGTCATGGCTCTGACCTCTGATGAGGAATTGGGAGGAATACCTGGGAGGAATTCGGGCAGACAACCACATGGTGCAGGAGAAAGAAGCAGACTGGTGTCCAGGGAGCTGTGTTCTTGGCCCACCTTTGCCAAGACTGGGTGACCTTGACCCTGGACACATCATTTACCTCCCTAGACCCTGGCTGCCTATAAGAGGGAGCAGTTCTCTGGATGTCTAGTCACTTCTCTGGCTTGCTTATAGACAAATATTTATATTTGCCTTGATTAAGAGGCCCTCTGGTATTTTGATGACTATAGCCCTTCAAAACCTGAGGTCACAGGGGATTTCCTTTATTTATAAATTGTCCTTCATGAAGCACTTTTGTCCAAAAAAAAAAAAAAGGATATTTCTTCCCCACAACTATTGAGAACAGATATGCACCAAGGATCGTGGATCCATCAAAGAAAACAGGAAAAATGAATGTGGAAAGAAAGAACTCCAACACTTTGGGATGTGTAGTAAGAGACTTTTGGGATGATGATCCGCAGCCCAGAGCAGAGGGCCCTTGGACACATTCTGCCTGCCTTGCTTCCCTCCCAACCACCCTCCCATAAAGTCCTGCGTGAGAGGGAGGGACTTTCCAAGACCTAACCAACAATAATGGTCACTTGGTTGTTCGAACATCAGTAATGTTCAGCTGAACAGGCTTTGAGTCATAGTTGTGGGGTGTTCCTAGAATCACAGGTGCGTGGGGAGCTGTCACTTTCTCTGTGGGTCTCTCTCCTCTTTAAAAGCCATCTCAGGGTGATGGGGGGAAAAAAAACATAAAAAGTTTGAGGAAAGTGATTTATCTGGAGAAATGTGTTCTACAAACACCATCTACATCTTCAGAATCGAGCTTTCCATTTTCTACCAGAGGGTACCCAAGGATGTGGGTCTGTTATAGGACAGGGAGAGGGTCAGCCCAAACCCTGCAAACCTGCCTATTCTAAATGGGTTCTGCCATCCGCCGCATCAACACAAAACATAGGAGACTTTAATGGGAAGGAACTTTAATAAAACTAGGAAACAATACAGGTAAGGCAAAGAGTCTAGTTTCTAGTTTCTAGTCTAGTTTCTAAATGAAGCATCCAGAGTTACCCATCCCCTCGTGGGTAAAAGTCCATCCAAATGGGATTGGCCCAGAACAAGGCCCCAAAGCCTGCTACAAGTCTAAAGCATCTTCCAGTGGGGACCCACAGAAAAGGGTCACAAACAACTGGACAAGCCCGGAAGGAAAAGAGCAAAATCAACATCCAGATAAAAGCTGCCATTGTCACCTCCCCACGGGTCTCACCCACATCTGTGTCACCCAGTCCACGACCAAAAGACAAGCTGTTTCTTCACGTGTCTCTAGGCTCCATGCGCCTCCTCCAGGTCTCCTGGCTCCATCCTGCTTTCTTCCTCAGTCTCTTCTTGCAGCTTCTTCTCTTGCTGCTCAGCTCCACCCTCCCTTGGGTGGGGCAGGGAACCTCCCCCTTTCCTGGGGACCACCCTGTTACAATCCCCCCTTTTAATTTTTATTCCACCATATCTATGGTGGCACAATCTCAGGGTGTAGTCTTAGGAGACAGTCTTTTTTAGGGTTACAATGTGTGTAAGAGAAGCAACAATTAGTCAGCAGCATTGTCCATGAATGTCCAGTATGACAGTTTTGCATTCTGAAAAATAGTCCATTATACAAGCCAAAAGAAAAAAAAATTGGAGCGTTAGCTAAAACAAGACAGCAAATATATCAAAATCACAGGGAAAAAATGTTAAAATGGTTCAACTGATGTAAAATACAAATTTTCTCAACCTTGATCCCAAACTTTTAACAGCATAGCAAAAGTTTGTAAACTAAATATACTTTTAAACCATTTTTACTATTTTTGCATAAAATCACAGGGCAGAAATAACTAACAGCAATTTTTAGCTGGCTTTGTTGAAATACCCCATATAGGATCAGAGCGAACCGGTGGCATCCAGTCGATGTAGGCTTCAGGTATAACGTTGGTCTCATCAGACTCCACCTGGGCTTTCCTCTTCTCGAGGGTACCAGGGCATTTTCGTTGGCCGGGTTGTCTGTCCTAAATCACGTTGGACGCCAAATCTGTTATAGGACAGGGAGAGGGTCAGCCCAAACCCTGCAAACCTGCCTATTCTAAATGGGTTCTGCCATCCGCCGCATCAGCACAAAACATAGGAGACTTTAATGGGAAGGAACTTTAATAAAACTAGGAAACAATACAGGTAAGGCAAAGAGTCTAGTTTCTAGTTTCTAGTCTAGTTTCTAAATGAAGCATCCAGAGTTACCCATCCCCTCGTGGGTAAAAGTCCATCCATATGGGATTGGCCCAGAACAAGGCCCCAAAGCCTGCTACAAGTCTAAAGCATCTTCCAGTGGGGACCCACAGAAAAGGGTCACAAACAACTGGACAAGCCCGGAAGGAAAAGAGCAAAATCAACATCCAGATAAAAGCTGCCATTGTCACCTCCCCACGGGTCTCACCCACATCTGTGTCACCCAGTCCACGACCAAAAGACAAGCTGTTTCTTCGCGTGTCTCTAGGCTCCATGCGCCTCCTCCAGGTCTCCTGGCTCCATCCTGCTTTCTTCCTCAGTCTCTTCTTGCAGCTTCTTCTCTTGCTGCTCAGCTCCACCCTCCCTTGGGTGGGGCAGGGAACCTCCCCCTTTCCTGGGGACCACCCTGTTACAGGTCCACTCCTTCATAGGTGAACCCCGGGCCTCCCTGGCGGCGCAAGGGGTTAAGCACCGCTCTAAGCAGCAATCCGCAGCCTCTGCAGCACGAGTTCAATTCCCAGCCTTGCCAGGAAGCAACCCACATGGCGCAGCAGACCTCTCCTGACAGCCCGCTGCTCCCCTCAGCAGTGGATTTCAGTCAGACAGCCTGTTCTGTTCCCCACTCTCTCTGGTGAATCCTCTCACCCCCCGCATCTCTGGCCTGTACCCCAGCTCTTGCATGCATAAATAAATAAATCTTAAAAAAAAAAAAGTGAACGACCCCCCCCAGCCACCCGCCGAAGAAGTCCCGCCTCTCTTTACTTCATCCAAGTGCCTATTGGATGATTCCTACCATCGATCCGCCAGGTACCCGCCCCCTCCTCCTATCACCGCCGCCGTGTGCCTCCAGTCTGTGCGCTCATTGGTCTTTTCCGCAGTCGCTCTGCGCTGGGGCGTTCCAGGGACAGCCACTGGGAGTCTCCGGATTCCGGTTTAAAAATCGCCGGGAGTGGCTCCGCGCCGGGGTCGCGTGAGGCGGGGCGGCCGAGCACCAGCCGCGGGGCGCAGGTCGGGGCGCTGCGGCCTCCCGGACGCCAGCCTTCGTCCCCGCACCCCGAGGTCCTCCGCGCCATGGGCCCGCGCCGCCGGAGCCGCAAGACCCCAGTCCCGAAGAGGCGCGCGGCGAGCCCGCCCCCCAGCACCCCGCGGCGGGGCGCCCCCCGAGGTACGGCGGCGCGAGCCCTCCCCGCCGCCTGCCCGCGAGGCGGGGCCGGGCGGGCCTGGGTCCAGCGTCCGCCCCGGCGCGGCCCAGCGCTGGTCCCGGCGAGGGCCGGGGAAGGCGGGCTCGGGAAGGGGAAGGACGGGCCGGGGCCCGGGGCCCCCCCGGCCCCCCGCGCGCGCAGCCGCCGGCTGGAGGTCGCGCGGGCCGGGCAGCTCGGGCGGCCCCCGCCTGCGCCCGCGGACACCGGGCGCGGGGTCTGGAAGTCGGTGGCGGTGCTTTTTATTTTTTAATTGCAAAAACAGCTGCTCGTGACGTTCCCAGCAGTGCACCCCTAGACGGGGTCCTCGCGCGTGGGGGTCGTGCCCTGCGCTGACAGCCGGCGCCCGGCCGGAGGGCGCCCCCAGCGGAGGCCGCGCCCGCGTCCGCCCGGGGCTGGGGGTGCAGGCGCCGCCCGGGGCGCAGTCCAGGCCCGCGTGCTCGCTGCGCCCCGTGAGCAGGGTGGGAGGGCGCGCGAGAGGCTCCCCACGGCTGCTGCTCTGTGGAGGGGAGATTGTTTTCTTTCCTAAACATAAGTCACCTTCGCCTCCAGCCAATCGGTGGAGTTTAATATTAAGTCTTTCCGTTTCTTCTGCATGAAGTACCGATGGCGCTTGACATTAAGGGGTTTCCCCCTGCAAGCCGTGCTCTGGCCATCTTTGTCTTGCTCTTAGTTTTACCAGGAATGCTGTGAGGCTGGTGGGTGCTGCTGCTCTCCAGTCCTTTCACTCCTGGGTCAATTGTTTTATCTCAAACACACTCAGCCTTGGACACTTTCCTGGCGGTCTGGCTTCCCCACTGTCTCCAAGACTGTACCTTTTCCTCCCTCTTCTAATTCTCCAGGCTCAGCTCCCCCCTCACACTGTCTGATGATGGCCATGCTCGTGCTTCAGTGAGATGTCAGGAGCCTCCCAGCTGGATGCCCCTTATCTTCGCACACCAGGGCACCTAGGTGCCTCCTTCCTAGCTGTAGCCGCCGCTCCTGCAAGAGCTCTGGGTCATAGTCTTCTCGCCTTCCCTGGGACTCTGTTGTCCTCTCCACCTGCACTTAAACTAGTAAGGATATTTTAAAGGTTTAGAAAAAAAATTAAATTCAAGCTCTTTACATCAGTCTTCCACAAACGTCCCCTGCTGATTCCCATCTAAAGGGGGAGGGCAGAGTCCTTCCCTCTCCCCACATGCCCATCTCCCTCACGTCCTGCATTTCCTCCTGCTCTTCCTAGTTACCCTTTTTAAATGGTCAGACTTGAGTCTGCACATGTGTCCGTCTCCCCTTCCCAGTCACCCTTCCACCCTCTCCACTACGACTCCCACGCACTGCCCCCACTTCTAGCCCACTTTCCTTGTCAAGGTCACCAGCTCCTTTTATGCTGTCCAACCCAGCGAGCATATCTGTGTCCTCTTGCTCTCTTGGGATCGTCTGACACAGAGGTCACTTTCTCCTTGAAACACTGTGTTCCAGTGGCTTCCATGATGCATATTCTCTGGGAAGTTCCTGCTTAGCATCCTCTCCTACCTGTGCCACCTCTCCACTCCAGCACTTGATGTTGATCTTATGCACCCCTACCCCAGTGGCCTCGCCCCTTCCCATGGCCGACAGCTCTCATGCCTGACAGCTCTCACACTTGTGTCTCCAGCCTAGAACTCTCCTCTACCTGGATCCGGATACCTTTCTACCTGAGCCCTGGTGTGTCAAACTAAATATCAAAAAGTGAACTTCTGAGTACTCCCCTCCAACCTCTTCCCATTTTCACTATTTCCCGTAAGTGACGTATCTACCTTCCTACCTGTTCAAGCCAGAAACCTTGGGAGCTAGTCTTTTATCATATCCTCGCATCCAGTCCATTGTCAGTTCATCCTAGTCGCTCCCCTTTTGTGGCTCTGTTCCCACCAGCCTGGTCTCAGCCACGGCCTCCTAACCCTGCACTTCCACTTTTGTCCCTTTTCTGGTCTTTCCTTGTACAGCCGCTTCAATGATCTTTGACATATAAGTTGATCGCCTCTCCATCCTGCTTAAAACTCTTCTGTGGCTTCCTGTGGCTTCCTGTTACTTTAAGATGAAATCTCAACGCATAATATTGGCACTTTAGGGCCAACTACTGAATGTTTAATCCCCATTCTTTTCCATGGTCTTTCTAACTGGTTGTTTTTGTAACTGCTTGTTTTGGGTCATGGTTCCATATCTTCTCTTGCTCCTCTGAGGTTATTTCCTTTCAAGACTCTGGCTCACATTCCTCTCTTTTGGGTTATTTGGTGCGCTGCCTTCAGCGCCTTCCTTTCATGAGTTGGCCTTCAAATTGTGGTGACCCCTAGTTGTGTTCATCTCTAGTGTCCTGTGACTGCATGTCTGTTTACTAAAGGCCACCTATGGGGACTGGGGACAGGTGGTGGGGAGGCGGGCAGGTGCCGAGCGTTTGCCTCCTAGGTGCTAGGCTTCCCTACCAGTTCTCTGATACAGCCCTGGTTCTTTGGCCCACATGCCCCATCCGGGGATAAAGAGTCCGCCGCTGACCTGTGGCAGAGGCTTCTCTGGATTGCTGTCCTGCCCCTGTTCTTGCAGCTCTTCTCTGTACTGGATGCCTTCCATTGAACTACTTGGTGTAGATTCGCTTTCCTTGGCTGAACCTTGAATAACATTTCTGAAGCTAATTTTATCTATCAAAATGTTAGTTTTAATGTGTTTGTTTCTTTATTCAATTTATAGGAGGTTTACTTATTTTCTTTGGTCCTTGGCTTTGTTTATTGAGCAATTATATGTTTTCTGTTTACTCTTCTTTCTTCATTATATTATATGTATTTTTAAATTTTCCCACCGCCATCCCTTCTAACCCTAGATCCATTATCCCCCTCCCCCGCCATCCCTCTAACCTCAGACTCCTCATCATGTTTATTAATGTCCACTAGTTTCTGTGTTTTCCTTCATTAAATCATCTGCTGTATAAACATCCAGTATTTTGTTTTTAGCATTTTGACTTGCTTTACCACACACAATTCCCTCAAACTCCTCCATTTTGCTGAAGAGGCTGCATTTCTTCTCTCCTCGGGGCTGAATGATGCTCTATAATGTGGATATGCCACATCTCCTTGATCCTGTCATTTTAATATTCTTGTTTTCTACTAGATCTTGAGGCTTTTATACATTTTCCTCTAGTACTATTTGCTATGTCTTATAAGTTTTTGAGATGTAGACATTTTAATTACTTTTCATTTCTAACTAGTCTAATTTTAATTAAGTTTCCTCTTCAATGTTGTGTCGGGCAGCACCACACTGATAAAGAAGTGGGAGTCGTGGAGCAGGCTGCATAATGCAGGATGCTGTTGAAGAGCAAGATCCTGGCCATGTTTATTGACAGAATAATACAGCATCAGCTACGAGGGGCAGGAGGACAAGGAGAAAAGGATGGTGAAACTCAGGAATGTCATCTAGGGCTTCGGAGGACATGAATCTGCTGACCAAATAATGCTTACCTGCTTGATGACCAAGTGTTGTCATCAAACCAGACCCCAGACCCTTGGCCATGGTCCTAATCTTACAACAAGGCATTCCACTGATCAGCTTCTGGTCCCTTGTCATACATCAGTCCTTGGCCCCCCAGGTGTTCCTGGTCACATCTCATGATGCACACCCTTCCCAGAATGATCAAGCTTTCTGCTCTTGATTGATTGGAAAAGCACCTTGTAAGGTTTGGCTCCTATGGCTGACTGAAGAGCAGTTCTGATCTTGTACAGGAATGCAGAACTGCAGGGAACAATAATGGTGCCTGAACAGGCCACTTAGGTTCAGCAGACCCACATTCAACCTAAGAGAAGAATTCATGTTTGTATTCTTGTATTTATAATTTCATCAGACAGTTTCACTGGTTTGATTTCTACTTTTGGGAATATTTTAAAAATTCTTTTCTTTCTTATAGTTGGAACCAGGCTTTCACCAAAGGCTCTGACCCAGAGCCCAGCATCCTGACACTGGCTCTGAGTTATGCTATCTCTGAGGGTCCTACTTTGGCCACTCGAGTTCTGACCAGCTGTCTCACCTCAGGGCCTTGGGATAACAAGACACAGGTGTGCTTCACAGGCTCTCAGATTCCTTCCAGTGTTAAAGAAGACCTAAAAACAAAGTAACCAAGTCTCCAATCTTGGTGGAAGAGATAGAAGAGATGCACGAGGTCCTGGGGGCCCAGAAAAGAGAGGTGTCCTGTCTGCTGGAGTTAAGAGTTGGCATTTCAGATAATACCCTCAAGGGATCATTCATTCATTTGCAAATATTTGTTTAAACCTATCTGCTGTTTTCTATTTGCTGAAGATGAACACAATGAATAAAATAAAATCTCTGCTTTTGTGGAGTTTATTACGGTGTAGGGATTTGATTCTTTGCCTGGGCCGGCCAAGCTGGGAGCACCCCCCACCCCCGCACCCACTTTCCCCTGTTCTTATTTTCATGACCCAACTCTTTCGCTTAGGCACTTCTTCCCGCCTACAGGTCCCCGGAGATCTTTGATTCTAAGGGAGATCCGAAAGCTTCAGAAGAGCACCAACCTGCTGTTAAGGAAGAGCCCCTTCAGCCGCCTGGTGAGCTCCAAGAGCTTCCTGCCAACCCCCATGCTGCCTCCTTTTTTTTAAATTTCCCAGGTATCCAGGGCCCTGCTAGCTCTTGCTTAATGGCTAAGGGAACTCTTCTTAACCTGGGAGACGACTTTTCATCTTCTGAAAATACAAACCTGCCAGGGGCACCGAAATTCTTTAATAAATTAATTTCTAACCCCTATCGCCTTTTAAAGTGTGTTCTCTGATTAGAAAAACAAGAATCCTGTCATCCATCACCCTCTGATCCCTTGTCCTGCGCCAGGAGCTGACCGTGGCTGCTGGCTAGGTCCTGAGATTAGGGCCAGGAAGGTAGCATGGAAATGAAGGTCCACGGAGACCCTGGACAGTGTCCATTTCCCCTGAATCTCTCTCCTTTTTTGTCTCTGCACCGCCCCACCCCTCTTCTCCTTTGCTCCCCACCTCATAGGTAAGAGAAATATGTGTTAAATTCACTCGCGGTGTGGACTTCAGTTGGCAAGCCCAGGCCCTGTTGGCCCTACAAGAGGTAAGAAAGGGCCAAGGTGGTTGGGTGAGGGGTGAGTCTGGGAAAAAAGGCATTCTGTGTTCTGGAATCTAGCCTCCTTCCATTCTGTGAACAGCCTTTCCTGCCCTTTGTACCCTCAGAGACCAAGTTTAGCTGTCCTCCAAGAAAAAAGCAGCCTAGGCCTCAGCCTATGTCCATCTTTCTGTTTCTTTCCCTGCTCCAGGCAGCAGAAGCATTCCTGGTTCACCTCTTTGAGGATGCCTATCTCCTCTCCTTGCACGCGGGCCGCGTCACCCTCTTCCCGAAGGATGTGCACCTGGCCAGGAGGATCCGAGGCATTCAGGAGGGGCTGGGCTGAGCTCCTGCCACCGCCTCTGTAAGCCTTTCCTGCTGAATGGAGAGAGAGCACGCTTTAGGCAAAAAAACATGCAACTTTTCTTTTCTTTTTTTTTTTTTAGATTTATTTTATTTATTTATACATGCACTGGGTACAGTCAGAAGCGCGGGAGGGTGAGAGAGTTCACCAGAGCCAGAGCAGGGAGCAGAGCAGGCAGACTGAAGTACACTGCTGAGGGGAGCAGTGGGAGGCAGGAGAGGTCTGCGCACCATGTGGGACCCTCCTCGGGTGGCCGGAAGCAGCGGGAATTGAACCAGCCCTGCAGAGGCTGCGGGCAGCTTCGCAACCCAGCGCTCAACCGCTGAGCCACCAGGGAGGCCCAAAAACATGCAACTTTTCATCACTGGGGTGGAAGTTTCTCCAAAAGATTTCCCTACTCCATCCTTAGTCCTTTGCCATCTCATCTTCCCTCAGTTCTCTTGAGGAAACTTGACCTTTGAGTTTGAATGCTTGGGACGCTATGACTCGAGGCTGTTGTACAATTTTATTTTTTTTTTTTTAAAGATTATTTATCTGTGCATACAAGAACTGGGGTACAGGCCAGAGGTGCGGGAGGGTGAGAGGATTCACCAGAGACAGAGTGGGGAGCAGAACAGGCAGACTGACTGGAATACGCTGCTGAGAGGAGCAGCGGGTGAGTCAGGAGAGGTCTGCTGCACCATGTGGGTTGCTCCCTGGCTGGCCAGGAATCGAACTCGTGCCACAGAGGCTTCTGGACAACCCCATAGTGCTATGTTCAACCCCTTGCGCCACCAGGGAGGCCCTTGTTGTACAATTTAAATAAAGCTATTTTTCTATTAAGAAGTGACCAGATGACCTGAATCTCTGACAGAATTAAGCCTCCCCACTTTACAAGGACCAGGTGACCTCATTTTGAGGAAGAGGAAGTTTTCTTCCTTTTGAAAGCGCCTCCTTTGTAAAAGTGATTCTTAAATTTCAGGGATTTTATGAGGGATCCTCATCAGAGCTGGGACCAGATCCAGAGGCTGAGGTGCTGCTGAGCTGCTGTGTGTTTTTGTTACTGTTGTAATTTTTTTTTCCAAGAAGGAGAGGACTGCGGTGCTTTGCCTCTGTAATGGAGGTACCAGCCGAGACAATCAGCACAATTCCAAAGGCTCCAAGTGATTATTTCCAGACTCCAGAGTCCAAGCGACTCCAAGGTTGACTTCAGTTTGTAAATGATTCATGTGACTATTGGATGGTTTTGAAGACCTCAGTTTGCTGGGTTACGGGAGAAAAGGATATTTACTTATTACCTTAGATCTTTCTGTAAGAATTTAATTTTTTTTACCATATGTATATTTACTTTTACTTAAAACATAAGGAGAAAACTAAAAGAAGACCACTTCAGTCATTTCCAAGAAGAGCTTGGCACATCTCACACGCGAGTGTCTGCCCTTCAGATTAATCTCATCATTAGTAGCAGCGGCAAGTTCCCTTGGATTGTGCCTGTCAACTATATATAGCTTTTCCAATACTAAATTGGGATTAAAATAGAAAATCTTTAAGGTTGATGTTCCCTTCTAGTAAATTCCTATCCAAATCATTCAGAAATTCTACCTTATAGAATGTATCTTATTCTAATTTATAAATCATAGAAAATGTAATATAATTTATGCTTTGAATTTTTCATTCCAGGATTTTAAAGTGCTCTTTTAATGTTTTTATAAGTGTTTTTAGAGCTTTTTGTGGCAAGATAATAAAAATAAAGGTCATTTTCTGATAAAAAAAAATTTTTACGTGAAGTTGCTGTTCAAGCATACAGAGGTCATACTGTATTTTTTTGTGTGTTAACTTTAAGTTCTTCATTGTACAATTTGCAAAAGTCAAAGTTTAAGCAAGAGAATTGAAGGATATGTTTTTGCTTCTAGTAGAGGATGGACAGTAAAAGCCTTACCCTTTCATTTAACTGAAAGCAGTTTAAAAGATTTTCTGAGAAATGTCAAGTATCATGAAAAGATTTTTAGATTTTATGCATGGTGAAAATGATTAGCGAGGACAGTCAGTGGAATTCCGGACACCAAAGGGAAGGACCAATTTCTAACGTTTCGTTATTTTCACCCTTTGTGCAAACCTTTTCCTGTTCCACATCAACTCATATTAATGCAGATATTTGAATAAAGCATACTCTTAAATGACTATAGTTAAAGGTCTTGTCAGAGTATGAATAATTAGTTTCCTTAGTTTTCTTAGTTTACTTTAAATTGCCACTACTCTGCCCTTTCAAGATTGTACAAGACACTGCGACCACCTATCAACTAATACCTAGGTAAATTTTAGAAAATTAAAGAATTACCTTCTGTATTGTTCATGAAGACATTAATGAAGAAGTCAAAGAAACAACCAAGAAAACAATGACACTTGCCCACATTTTAACATAAAGCCACTCATTGATTAACAAAAAGGATATGTTTGAGAAACGCAGTTCTATCTTTTTGTGTATATTATTTCCCACACAGTAACTTCTCCACCTCATTGGCATAGCAATTCAGGAGGGCGTCTTGGAGAAGGAGCTGGGTCATGCAGGCCTTCTTATTGCTCCTGTAGGACACTGGCCGTGCACGTTCCCATGTCATTAAGCAGCAGGAGTTTTGGGACCACCACCAAATATGGGATCCATTGCTGATAAAAAATCACTATGCAGGGCATGACCGTTTTTCACATGCTCACATATTTCATACGCTCATCTAACTTCTTTTCAGGTTCAGCTGTTATAAATGAAAGCAAATAAAAATCACTTTCCAGGGCCTCCCTGGTGGTGCAGGCGTTTGAGCACCGCACTGTGAAGCTGTCCGCTGTCCGCAGCCTCTGCAGCATGGGTTTGATCCCAGCCAGCCAGGGAGGGTCCCACATGGCACGGCAGACCTCTCCTGTCTTGCCCACTGCTCCCCTCAGCAGTGTATTTCGTCAGTCTGCCTGTTCTGTTCCCCACTCTGTCTCTGGTGAATCCTCTCACCCTCCTGCACATCTGGCCTATAACCCGTTCTTGTATAAATAAATAAATCTTTAAAAAAAAAAAATTCGGGCCTCCCCCATGGCTCAGCGGGTTGAGCGCTGTGCTGTGAAGCTGTCTGCAGCCTCAGCAGCGCAGGTTCAATCCCAGCCAGCCGGTGAGAAGCTCACATGGTGCCGCAGACCTCTCCTGTCGCACCTGCTGCTCCCCTCTGCAGTGTATTTCTGTTGTCTGCCTGTTCTGCTCCCTACTCTGTCTCTGGTGAATCCTCTCACCCTCCCGTGCTTCTGGCCTGTACCCCAGCTCTTGTATAAAAATAAATAAATCTTTAAAAAAAAATTAAAATAATAAAAAAAATCACTTTTCCAAATTGTGTCCTTTGTGTTTCATATTCCAGTATAAACATATTCTTCCTATTCTGGAACAAACTGCTTTGAGAAAGCAGTTCTCAATGTGGGGTCTGGAGGACACCCCCAAAGAGTACTTAAGATTCCTTCAGGGCATTCATGAGGTTTAAACTATTCCTGTAATCTTACTAACATATTTCTTTCTTACCTCTCAATTTTCTCATGTGTATAGCGAGAAGCTAATGACAGGGGACATAGGAAGAGACTGACTGAATACAGAAGCAGATGTGAGAATCCAGATGTCTTCTATACAGCCAGACATTAAAAGAGATTTGCAGATATAAGATGATGCCGCTCTTTTCATAAATTGTTTTGAAAATAGTTATTTTTCATAAAAATATTTAGCATACAATTTCATCTTTGCTCACTTCAAATAAATATACTTTTCATTTCTGCTCTAACTCCATGTAGGGACTATTAGTACATGTAACACATATAGGTAAAACTTTGTTGGTCTCAATAATTTTTTTAAGATATATTTTTATTTATGCATAGAAGAACTGGGGTGTAGGCCAGAGGTGCAGGCATGAGAGGATCCAAAAGAGACAGAGTGGGAAGCAGAACAGGCGCATCAACTGCAATACACTGCTGAGGGGAGCAGTGGGCGGGACAGGAGAGGTCTGCTGCGCCATGTGGGTCAGCTCCCTGGCCAGGGATCAAACTGATGCCTCAGTGGCAGGCAATAGCTTGATAGTGCTGAGACTTGACCCCTGCCCCACCAGGGAGGCCCAATAATTTCCTAATTTATATGACAGGGTCCAAGAATCAAAAAGGTTAAGAACTGCTGCCTTAGGGGAGAAAGCTACTTTCCCCTTGAATAACAAAAACACATGCACAGTTGTGTTTCTCGTTTACTATTGCTCCCAGAATAGTCTCAGGCATGCATAGTAATTATAATTTTCAAGCAAAGCAACTAGCTTCTATTTCACAAAGAAAATGATAGGACTATCTAAGAAGACATGTCTGGCATACACAAATATTTTACCAGACAAGCAAAACTCTGAACACATAAAATAACTTTCTAGAGCCAGACGCATCATTTTTATACCTTCTTACAGTGGCAGAAATCAACACATTCCTAGCATACTGTTATAGGCAGAATGCTCGTATCCCTCCAAAATTCATAACCCTAATGAATGTTGGTATTTGAAGGTGGGACCATTAGGACATAGACCCAGATGAGGGCCCCCACCACGGTATTCATGTCCTTTTTCTCCAGCCAGATGCACTTAGGAAAGACTGTCTGCAAGTCAAAGAGAGATTTCTTTCATTTGTACCAGGACTATGATCTGTCTAGTGTAGCTTCCCACTTACAGATATTTCACTGAACATTAAATAATGATTAGAAATACAATTGCCAATGGGTAAGCACTAGTGGAGCACATCTGATTTCCTTCATCCTCATAACAGCTCCAAAAGCAGGCATTCGGCTAAACAGTGCATTGCAATGCGTGATGCGTGACATCACTCAATTTATAACCTATTAATGATGAACTGATTAAACGCTAAACATGCGCCTGATACAGGGCACACAGGCCAGGAGAGGAAGCATGAAGATATCAAGACGTAGAGATACTCAGAGGCACAAACAGGGACAGATGAGGCCAGGAGAGTTTCAGACTCCAGAGCAGCCTCCAGCCTGGCGCTGAGACTCAGGGGAGGGGGCCCTAATGATGTCACTTGCTCCCCACAGCCATCCTGCATGGTGGAAGAAACTGGGAGGGGAAGCTGCTGCAAAACTTGATCCCACAGCCAGGTGAGAGATTCAGGCAGGCGTTAGGGTCTTCACCAACACAAGGGCTGGGCCTGAGCCTGCCTCTTTGGGTCCTTTCAAGAGCAGGACATGATCCCGCCCTACTGTGGAAGGAGAGCCTCAGTGAAGGGAAGGAACTCAGCCCAAGCCACCCAAGCACCTGTCCCCGTTGGCCACATGGGTCCAGGCCTTCCTCCAGGAGCTCGGGGACACTGTCAGGATGAAGAGCAGGACCCACAGCTCCCTGGTTCCTTTCCCGACACCCCTTGGGGTGCTTTCCCTGAAAGGAGGGGGGTGAACTAATCAGCTCCATGGGCCCACCACCACCCTGAGAATTACAATATGAATTCCAAATAACTGTCACATATTTGAGAAAAAGGCAAGTGCACATGAGGCCACGTGCCACCGCAAGCAGGGTGGGCTAGTGGCACAAACACCTGAGTCTGTCCTGGGTTTGGACTTTGGCTCTGCCCTGAAGCTGTGGTTTGACCTTGGTCAAGTTACTTGCCTATGAGATCCTGTTGCCCTCCTCCATGAAGTGGGAGTCACAGTCTCTTTCTCACAGGTCTGCTGTGGGGATTCAACGGGATAATGAACATTAAGTATGCAGGAAATGCTCAAGAAATATTTGCTTTCATTCTTATTAAGATAAGTTCTGACAAATGCAACAAAGGAAGAAACATCAGCTCAACGGTTTCATAAAACAGTATCAGGAAACAATCAGGTAAACGTTGGAATGGGTAGGGTTATTTTTAGATTTATTTTTATTTATTTATGCATATAAGAGCTGGGGTATAGGCCAGAGGTGCAGAGATGGAGTGGGGAACAGAACAGGCGGATCTACTGAAATATACTATTGAGGGGAACATTGAGCAAGACAGGAGAGGTCTGCGTGTGGCACCATTTGGGTCAGCCACCTGGCCGGGGATCAAACTTGTGCTGCAGTAGCTGGTGATAGCTTGATAGCACTGAGAGTTTAATCCCTGCATCACCAGGGCGTCCCAGACTGGGTATTGATTTTTTAAACTGTTGTATTGCTTTGGACTCATTTTACAAATAAGAACCAATGAGTGGCAGGGGAGAGGGAGTTCTTTCCAATATCCCCAGCTATTCAGCACAGGTCAGGAGTTTAATAAAGCAGTGTGTTGTGGAGGCTGACAGGTGGGGAATCAAAAGATGATTAAAGATCCATCCTTTAGAGTAACTGTTTTGTTCTCTGAACATGATTGTTTATATTTAGACTGTTTCTTGTCCTCAGTATTATTCTTGCCAAAATGCAAATGAATTTTATTTGTTAAGAGAGGAAATGGTTTAAACAGAGTTTCCTTATCCTCATCCCTGTAATGTTGGCATTGTAAGAGTAGGCAATTTTAGGTTCCTTTTGGAATCTCTTCATGTGTATGAAATAAATGCAAATTTAAGGTTGCAGATTTCCACTGTGGGGCTAGGGCAGCTGGAATCATGCTGGTATGCAGCTATTCTAATTCCAAGAGTAGACAAGATTAGACAAATGTTTATTTCCTTTTTATTGCCTTTTTTGAATCATTTAAGCTTTGAAATTAAAAAAATAAAAGCTGAGAGAAAAAATGTTTCCTAGACCAGAAGGGATGATTTGAATTTTTGGAATGCTTATCAACATTTCAGGAGGAGTGATAAGCCACTGGAATTGATGTTTTTAACTTAAGCAGCACTACCCCAAGCCTCCTTGGGTCCCCTCTGCTGGGTCTTAGTGCTGAGCTGGGAGGCCACTGCTTTGGGGTCTGGTTGTTATAAGAAGTGTCATAATCTTATATCCTTCTTATTGTTCAGTAACCATTTGTTGAGTAAATGAATAATAGCTGCATTTGTTGAGTGGCCACTATATGCCAGGCAATGCTCTTTATATGCGTGTCCTCATGCAATTACCACTTCAGGGCTAAAGGGATGTATTATAATCCTCACGTTCTGTGGGGAACTAAGGGTCGGATGCACTAGGTAATTTTCCCAAGGGCAAGTATCCGGAAAAATTGAGCAAGAATTCCAACCTAGGCAGATGAGGCTGCAAGTGCTGTTCTCTTTCTACTTTCCAGGAAAGAGACCTCAGGTTAAAAGTAAACACGTACAGTTGAAATTTAGCACTGTGGGGTATATACACCCTCAGGTTTGCTACCCTCATCAATGTCCCAGAAGGCTGAGCTTTTCCAATCAGAACAAGAGAAGCAGCAGAAACCTAACGTGTGGTCCTGTAGATGCTGCAGAAAACGTTTGCTGCCACTAGAGGGCTCCCCCCCTTAGGCAAAAGCTGCGGCACCTCCAGTGCGCGGTAGCTGCAGGGCCCAATAGCGGGGAGCTGTCCCTGGGCTCCGCGCACCTCCCGGCGCTCAGTCCTTTTCCCCCCCGAGTCCGTGGGTCATCGAAGAGCCTGTGCGGCCTGGGTAATCCAAAGGCAGTGCCCCAGGCTGGAGCAGCCAGGACAGGATGCGCCACCCCCCTCAGGTTCTCACAGCCGCACCCCAGCTGCCTGGGTTGGACACCTTTTGGGGGGACACTTAAGCGCCTTTGGAGGCTCCCTGCTTCACTCAGGCTGGGCGGGGGAACGACAACAGAGAAGTAAACATTCCTCCCGGGAGCCGTGGAGGCTCGATGGGGATAATCCAGAAATACGCCTCCGAAGGCTAGTCTGGGCCGGGCCGGGCCGTGCGCCCCCCACGAGGGACTGTAGAGAAAGCGGCCCGCGGCGACCGCACTTCGGAGGGGCCTGCAGCCCCGCGCCCAGGTAGGCTCCGCCGAGACAGGGAGAGAGGACCCTCCCGAATGATAGGGCACGGTTTAGATTGGAAATATCCCACGGAGAGAACCACCCAGGGAACCCCTCACCTTCACCCCTGCCCTGGAGTCCCGGGGGGGGGGGCGAGGCCTCTGCAACAGCCCCTTGGGGTTCCCAAGGGAAGCCCCCCTGGGTTTAGAGGCGAGGACTCTCAGTCTGGATTTTAGCACCGTCTTCGGGCGGCGTGACTGAAAAGGGCTTGTTACCAGGCCCTGCCGCCCCTCCTGCCACGACCACATCAAACAGGACACCCGGAGAGGCTCGCGGGGCCCCGGGCGGGCGCCGCGCCCAGCGATGGCTCTCGCTCCTCTCCTAGATTTTTGTTCAAGGACGCCTGTATTTAAAACGCGAAGAAAGGGGGAAGCGAATGTCAATTCGCTTGAGTTTGTCAGACATTTCTAGAGGCTTCACCGGCCCCTGAACGGAGGCGCGAGGCGCAGGACAGCGGCGGGGCTGGGACTTCGGGCGGCGCCGCCTCGGAACGCACGCGGGTTCGAGCCCCCAAGGGGCAGGTGCAAGCTCAAGCGGCCCGAGAGGTCGTCCACTTCGTGCGTGAGAACACGGTCTTACCACCGCCCACCCTCTCCAGGCGGGGAGCCCCCCGATGCCCACGTGGAAGGCGTGGGACTGGGCGCCGCGGGGACCCCAGCGGCCGGCGCGGGCCCGCCACGACGGGCAGCGGGCGGAGCAGCGGCGGAGCAGCGGGCGGGCAGCGGGGCATTGTTTCAGCCCCGGGGTGGGTGCTGGGGGGGAGGGGAGGCGCTGCGTCCCGGGACCCGCCCCCCGCCCTCCCAGGGGACCCTTGCATCCGCGCGTCCGAGCGCCCCGGCTTTGTGAAGTGTCGCCAGTCGCCATGGAGACCCAAAAGAACGCGGAGCCCGCGGACAGCGAGTCCACTGGCTCTGCGGCCGCGCCCTCCGGCCCCCGGGGACCCCGGCCTGCGGCGGCGCCTGTCGGGAGTTGTAGTCCCGAGGCCGCTGTCCCCGCCCCCCCTAACCTGCCCGCGCGAGGTGGGGCGCTCCGGGGAGGAGCCGTCGGATCGGCGATTGGCCGAGGCGCCTCCAGCCCCCTCCCAGCCCCGCCCCCGCCGTCTGCCGACCCGGGCCCGGCGCGCCGAGGGCGACCCAGGAGCGAGCGCGCGAGCAGCCGCCGCCGCCCGAGCACCGCAGCTGCGCCCGCGGCGAGGCTGGAGACGCCGCCGACCGAGGACCCCCGCAGCCGCCGCAGCCCGGAGGAGTGGGTGATGGGGGCGGGCGGGGGGCTCGGTCCTCGCTCGGGGCTGATTCACCCCCTCACGCCTCTGTTTCTCCGCGAGGCGCACAAAAGGGCGGGGATCGCGGCGCGCCCCCCGGCCGGGCGCCCCGGGGCAGGGCGGGAGGTGTGGTCGGGGGGTGGGGGCGGCCATCGGGGCTGCACTGGGGCCCGAATCCGCTCCCCTTTGTAAGCCCGCGGAGCGCGGTGTGGCGCCCTGCGCTTCCTCGGCGTTTAAGGTGTGTGCGTGGGGATTGCCGAGAATTGGGGCGAGGAAGGGTTTGGGGGGAGGGGTCTCCCCCCGCGCACACAGTCGGTGCCCAGCCTTGCTCGTCGGGGCGCAGCGGGTGGCTCGCGGGCTGGGCCGGGGCTCCTCTGGACGCGGGCCCGTCCTGCCCGAGACCCCAGATCGGCGCCGTCCGGGACCCCCACCCGCCACCCGCACCCACACACGCACCGCCCGTCTCGCCTCCGCCTTGGGGTCGGCCCAGCCTGGCCTGACTCGGCGACCCGGTCCACCCCGCGGCCAACGCGGCGGGCGCGCCTGGCGCCTCCGCGGCACCTGCCCGAGCCACAAAGGCCGCCCGCTGCGGCCCGGCGGGGGGGGGGCGCCGAGCGGAGCCCCCCGCGGAGCTGCGCCGGGGCCCTCCAAAATCGGTGCTGGGCTGGCGAGAGGCGTCGACGCCCCAGGCCTGGGGAGCGGCCAGGAGCCCCGACTGGGTGGGCAGTGGGGGAGGCGAGGCCTCGGTTTGCGCAAAGAAGGGGTGGTGGGGAGAGCTGGGTGGGGACAGTGGCCGGGCCTGGGAGGAGGGCCGTGGAGACGCGGGTCTGGGGGGGGGGAGCTGAGGCGGGGGGTGTCTGGGATGCGAGGAAGGAGCTGGTGCCGGTGGCGCGAGGCGAGGCCGGGCTGAGGAAGACTGAGGAGCGACGGGGAGGTGCCGGGGGTGGAGACCGCCGGGGCCGGGGAGGGCAGACGCGCGGGGCGGGTCTCCCCGGGGAGGGAGGTCTCCGGGGCCGAGAGGGGCGGCAGCTGGGAGGCGGGTCTCGGGCCCGAAAGCCCCCAGCTCCGGCTCGCGGCTCCGGGTCCGGGTGGCCGGCTGGGCGTGGCCCCTGGGCCGGGTGAGCGACCCAGGATGGCGGATCCGGGGCCGGGATGGGGCTCCCGTGGGGAGCTTTGTCTCGCCTTGAGACGCGCCTCTGGTTTTGTGATCAGCGCCGCGCCGCGGGCACACCCTTTTCTCGGCGGCGCTGAAAGGCCTGGCCCGCGGCGGATGCTGCCGGGGAGGCGGAATGCGGGGCGTCTCCGCAGGGGGGTCCCTGAGAACAATAGCAACGCTGGTATCCGCTCGGCCGGCGACCCCCCCCCAGAACTCAAGTGCACGGTTTTCTGGGGCAGAAAATGCTCTCGGAGCAGTCTCGGGGCACGTGCGCGACTCTTGGGGTTTGTGTTGGGGCCCCCGTCCCTGTGGTTAATTCTGGTTGGAATCGCGCGTCCCCTCCAAACTCCCGGGGCGCAGAGAGCGCCGCCGCCCCGGGCTTCGGTGCCTCGGTCCGCCCCAGGCTGTGGCCCAGCAGCCCCGACGGGCGCGGCGACCCGGGGTGGGCTCGGCGCAGAGCAGGCTCTCGAGCTGCCGGCTTTGTCTGCCCAGGGGCCCACGTCGAAGGTCGGCGGTGTGTTCTTAGCGGGGGCAGTCGGGCCGGTGCGGAGTGCGGGAGAATCGGGGCGCAGTGGCCTTGGACAGCACCTGCCAGGGGTGCCATTCCGGGTCTCAGAGCGGCAGCCGGGGAGCGGGGTTTTCCTTTGCGGGTGACCACACCCAGGCAGCGCGTGCATCCTTTGCAGATTTCGCCAGTATTGTCTGCTGACCTCAAACGGGACCGCTTTGAGATTGGAGGTGGCTGCCTGCCCGTGGGAGAGCAGATGAGCAGAACTGGAAACAGAATAGGGATTCCACAGAGCCGCCGTGCGCGCCTCTTGCTGGCTGGCTGAGCACCTGGCTGTGCCGCCTGCAAGGTCTGGACGTGGGAAATGATAGCCCCAAGCCAAAATTTTGTTTTACAGATTTTCTTTGATGATCATTTTGCTGATATTAAAGGTGATTCTTTAGCATAAGGTTCATCCTTTTAAATTGTCATTCATTTAAAAACAGAAAAAGTGAGGCAGAAGCATTTTTCCTGGAGGAGCGGAGGAAGCCTGGCTGTGTGACAGCATCACAGGGCCCATCAGCAGGACTTAGTCTTGCCATTAGGTTAACTGGTGAACATGTTGGCTCTTAACTGGCCTGAAATCAGGCTGTTCTTCCTTAACCAGGTTGCTGCTTAAGGTGAGGGGCTGTGATGTGATTGTTGCCTCTTGCCCAGAAGAGTGGTGGTGGCCACGCCTCAGGCCCCTCATCTGGGGCTGTCCCCAGTGGCCCCAGGAAAGCAGGAGGAGGCTCCACCTTGTGGGTTAAAGAAAGGGGCATTGAGGAGGTGTCTCCCAGAATTAACAGAACTGGTGTTGAAAGACTGGAATGTTGCTCGTTGGGTGCTTTAGACTGAATCAGTAGATCTCTATCCAGAGCAGGTGAAAACCAGGGACTGCAATGTTAGAAGCCAGAAATCTGACACTGAAGGTTTTTCTTGTGAAAGACCCAGTGGGGATGTGTCTTCATGTCAAATCCAAGAGGAAAACTTTCACGACGAAATGTTTGGTTGGTTTATTCTTTTTGAAAGAATTATGGATTTAAGGGTGTCATCCTAATAGTGCACTGTATGAACATCCAGTGATATCTTTTCCTCATGGTGGGGAGTCCATAGATGAGGCATGCCCTGTGACCAGCCATTCCACAGGGGAGATGGGGAGAAAGAGGCGTCCTTCAACTACTGCCTGTGAAAATGTCTGGGGTGAGGACCCAGAGGGGAGTGGCAGGAAGCCCCAAAGAAGGACCTTTGTGTCCCCACAATTCTAGGGTGCCTATCTTATCGCCCACTTCCCTGAGCTTAGGGACTTCAGCTGGGTGTACAAAAGGTGCCCGTGGGACATAAAAACTTGGCCATTTTCAGCCTAGTGTCTCCAAGATGCAGGGGTGAGCCAGGCTAGTTTCAATATTTTTTAAAAGATTTATTTATATATGCCTATAAGAACTGGAGTACAGGCCAGAGGTGCAGTTGTGTGTGTGTGTGAGAGAGGATTCACCAGAGACAGAGTGGGGAGTAGAACAGGCAGATGGACTGAAATACACAGCTGAGGGGAGCAGAAAGCTGGACAGGAGAGGTCTGCTGCACCGCGTGGGTCAGCTCCCTGGCTAGTTCTATAGCCAGGGATCAAACTCCTGCTGCAGTGGCTGCTGCTGTGGCTAGCTTCGTAGTGCTGCAATTTAACCCTTGTACTACCAGGGAGGCCCTTAGTTTCCATATCAAAGCAGCATGTGTTTCCACCTCTGGAAAAAGTTGCACAGCAAGGCCAGTCTATGCAATTAGCCGAAATTAGGCTTGGGCTTTATCTGTGGTACCTGCACCTCTCTATCCTCCTTACATCATGGACAGTGGAGAACTGCCCCTCCCTTACACTCCTCTGATCCAGCGGTCAGCCGGGTCCTGCACTAACTCCAAGGAGCTGTCAGGGTCAAAGGCCGCCACAGCTATGGACAACTCTCTGGGGTAAATTAGGATTTAGATAAACACTGAGAGCCAGGGAAGGCAGTATCAGTTAAGAGCATCTAAGACCCAGTTTATCTTTCTGGAATAAAAATGAACTAAATTGGGATAGAATAGGATCCTGCCCACACATTTTTGTTTTTTGAGCTTTAAGAATACAGTTGAGAAAAGTTTACGAAGCCTTGGTCCACAGAATCCTGTTGGAAGATAATACAGAATCTCACTGACAGTGTGGAAACTGTAGGGAGAATTGGGGTAGGTGTAACTGGGGTCTGATGAGAATGACAAGATGTTTTGATTTTATTGCTAGTGATAAAAGGGAAATGATGTCCAGATCATCTTACCTTACATTTTTTGTAAGAAGGAAAGATTCAAATATTATAGCATGAATTATTCATGAATTTTGTTATTTATGTGTAAAGGTGGACATAAATTATAGACTTTCACAAAAGACATTCATGAGGGAATATTGTTTGTGATTTCTTCTATCCCAATCTTTGAAACTTATTTAAATTAAAATAGATGGAACCATAGCATTCCCTGAACCCCTCATGCCCTGTCACTAACCACAGCCCAATTTCGTACTTGCATCCCCATCTCTTTTTTTTTTTTTTTAAGATTTATTTATTTATTTATACAAGCACTGGGTACAGTCAGAAGCACAGGAGGGCGAGAGGATTTACCAGAGTCAGAGTGGAGAGCAGAGCAGGCAGAAGGACCGAAGTACACTGCTGAGGGGAGCAGCGGGCAGCAGGAGAGGTCTGTGCGCCATGTGGGACCCTCGCCCAGCAGCTGGGGATCGAACCGGCGCTGCAGAGGCTGTGGGCAACTTTGCAACCCAGCGCTCAACCGCTGCGCCACCTGGGAGGCCCGCATCCCCATCTCTTTCTGCCTGAACCTCCTCCTTACAATCCGATCTCAGAGACAGTGTGCACAGGAAGGGAGCCTGGGCCTGAGCCAGGAAGCCTGGGTTCGAAGCCCACTCTGCTGTTTGTCTCAGGGACTCATTCTCATCTGTCCAGCAAGGATTTCATGACATAGCACAGGCCTGAGAGCTGTGTCTTCACTTAGTGTCAATGCAAATTATTTATCACCATCATCATACTCTCCCCGGAATCTTTCATTGCTAGGGCCCAGGCCAGGCCACTGTGGCATGGCAGCGGGAGAACAGAGAATGATGAGGACCCTTCCTAAGGCTTTTACCCTTGCAACTAGCGGGAGTAGCTCTGTGGGAATGGCTGAGTCTGGCCTCTCTCAACACAGCTGTTTACAGCAGCTGAGAACTTGCAGGGATAGGAATGTTCCAGAAGTGTTCTGAATTTGCTTGACTGAATCGTCCCTGCATG